GTAATTTGGACTGTTTCCCCACAGCAAATTACAATACGTTAGGTTTGGGTAAATAAGGGTATAATATAATTCTAATACAACATTTTTTTGTTATTTTATTTTTATATAATATACCTATTGTTTTATTTATTTTTTGGAGATAAAATTAGTGTGCGAGTCCCAGGATAAGTTATCGTTGATGAAGATACCTAAAAATTTTGTTGAGCTCGATCGATGTATAGGATTACCATTGATTTGTATATTTAAGTCTGTGATACAATTGGTTAGTATTCTTGGTCCAAATATCATATATGTGCACTTTGTATAGTTTATTATTAAATCATTAAAGGTAAACCAATTGGCGATGGATTGAATTTCATTGTTGATAGAATTTAAATCTTTGTTAGGTTCTTTAGTGTGAAAGTATATAGTCGTGTCATCGGCAAATAATAAAAATTTAGTTGATGTAGTTATGTGGCATAAATCATTTATAAATAAGGTAAAAAGTATTGGTCCTAATATAGAGCCTTGTGAGACTCCGCAGTTAATCAGTAGCTTTTCTGATTCATAGGTTTCGATTGAGACATATTGTTTTCTTTCTCCAAGGTAAGAGGAAAATCATGTATATGCTACTCCTTATACCATATGAATAGAGTTTTCTTAACCGTTTTTCATGGTTTATTAGATCAAATGCCTTTGATAGATCTATAAAGATTCCTAATGTGAAGATCTTTTCATTCAATTTTTCCATCACTCTCTGTGAAAATTCTACTATAGCAAGCTCCGTTGAATGGTCTGCTCGAAATCCATACTGACTTTTATGAATAATATTTTTAAACTGTATGAAAGATTCTAACCTCTGGCACATCAATTGATCTATAATTTTTGAAATAGGCGAGAGAAGAGACACAGGGCGGTTGTTAACTATATCTAACCGGTCTCCTTTTTGCAAACTGGTATTACTTTAGCGGTCTTAAAGCATTGAGGAGAGTAGCCCTGTGAGAAAGAAAGTTTGCATATGTGTGTTAAAGGCTTTATTATTTCATTAATCGTCTGTTTGATTAAGTAATTATTTAAATTATCCTGAAAAATACTTTTTTTGTTTTTTATATTTTTAAATATATTTAAAATTTCTTTTTCATCAACTGGTCTTTAAAAAATGGATTGGCATTTGGAATTAGCAATTTTAAATTTATCATGATAATGTTTGGGTTTATTTTGATCATCCAATAAAGTTTTGGCAATGTTGATGTGGTAGTTGTTAAATTCATCATATATTTATTTTTTATTTTCTATTAAATTATCAATTTTTATGCTATTTATGCTAAATGTATTCGTTTTCCTATTAAGTATATTGTTTATAATATTCAATTTTTTCTTTGCCTAGTTCGTCTAGAACTTTTTTTTTAAATATTGATTTTGTTATGGCGTTTAAATGTTGTAAATTTGTTTCTGAACAGTTTATATTTATTTAAATTTTTAGTTGTCGGATTAAGTAGATAAGTAGTATATATATATATATATATATATATATATATATATATATATATATATATATATATATATATATATATATATATATATATATATATATATATATATATATATATATATATATATATATATATATATATATATATATATATATATATATATATATATATATATATATATATATATATATATATATATATATATATATATATATATATATATATATATATATATATATATATATATATATATATATAA